ACATCTCTGTGGCACAACAGTGGAAAAGAACTCCTAACGTTATTTTAGATTTTCCACACTGTTCAGTTTCCACAAATCAAAGCAATACAACTGAGTTTTCTCTTCCAGCCTTTTAAGAAGTAGCTGGCCTAATTCAGCTTCATAGTAATACTTAAAAAAGCCAGAATGAAAACCAAGAAGTTTCAAGAGTCTGAAGAATTTATAGTGACTTTTACTATGATATACATCTGCCTGATAAAACATATTTCAAGTTCCTTTAGAGAATTCCTCTGTGCTCCTTGCTGCTGAGTCAGGGTTGGAATTTTCATGCAATATGCTTTAATATTTCAGTCCAAACTGTTAATTATACAGATATGAGATATCATCAATGTCAGATAATTGTAGACCAAAGTGCATTACTGCAGGGAAATTAGTAAGCCTTTTTTTTTTAACTGATGAAGTCTGAAATACATATTTCTATACAAAATCTAGAAAACGAGGAAATAAAGCCTGTAAAAACCAATTTATTTTGGCCATTTTATAGTTGACACAATTTTATGTCACCAGAGTCCTCTAAAAAAATGTATACAAGCCTATTACAAAATAACTCAGTAAGTGCATTCTAAAAGTGATGTTCTATACCACTAGTGATACCAGAGACATTTCATAGAATCATGGAAACATAAAATCACAGTCATGGAATGGTTTGGGTTGAAAGGAACCTCGAGGGTTATGTAGTTCCAATCCCCCTGCCATAAGCAGGGACACTTTGCACTAGACCAGCCTGATGAAACCCCTTGAACAGACCTCTCTGGGCAACCAGTGCCAGGGCCCCACCACATCCACAGTAAAGAATTCCTCCTAATACCATAAAATCATAAGATAGCTTGGGTTGGAAGGGACCTTAAAGAACCTAATCTAAACCTATCCTCTTTAAAAAAAAACAACCAAAAACAGAAAACAACACATTTTTCTCCCCAAAACAGGCACTTAACATTTGTTTGGTGAGAGAATACCACCCAAATCACCATATACTTTTCCCTGAGATTAGGCATCAGCCAATACAGGGAAGAAGAGGGTAGAGTTAATGGCATACAGCCATTTGGACCAGGCCTTGAAGAGCTAAAAGCTGTTGGCAGTTCTCCAGAATTATAAGGTACAGTTTTTTTTCCTTGTATTTTGGTGGTGCACAAGCAAAGCAAAGTTTGAAAATTCCAGGTTTTTTTGGATTCATAATGAAAACCACAAGAGAGTGAAATCTTATCAATAGTCATCTGATGTTATGGTTTCAAATCCACATCAGAAGACACTGATTCCATGGCTTTCAGCTGTTTACATACTGAAATGACCTGACACTATGCTGTCTGTTCTGCTCTGGTTTTTCTTTGAACTCTGGAGTTTGAAGTTTAAAGTATGTATGGTGATGCTTAGTCTGAAGATACAGCCAAGGCATACTTCCCTATACTAGGCAGATGTTTGTTCAATAACTGATAAGGAAAAGTATGTGATGTTTCAGTTAGACATTATATAGTAAATAATATTATTTAGCACTTTTAATCTTCTACTTTTCATCTCTAAGTACACATAAACAACCAAAATAGAAGAAAAATAAATATCATACATCTTGTAATTAGGCAGTACTACCTGCATACTGCAAACTGGGAAACTGAGTCAAAATAGAACAATGGAAGCATCTGGAAGACTTCTGTGTTATTCTGATGAACTTCAAAGTACTTAACTTAATAGCATTAATAAACACTCTAAGTGAATACCAGTACTTGTGCTATAAATGTTGCTGGCACCTCCAGGACACTTTAAAAAATTGATTAGTGCTACACTGGACTGCTGAGTCATCAATGACCGTCCTTCAACTAGGACAAGAGGATGTCTTGTAAGCAAGTTATTTATATTCTTAATATCTTCAGCAGAAAGTACAGTCTGGTTAGGTTTGGTAATCATTAAATAGCAATTTTTGTATGAGCTGCCCTCCTCCATAGATTTCTTATCAGATCAACTTCAGTCTTGAGTAAGAGCAATTACAAATAGGCCAACTTCTTTTAGTCTGAAAGAAGAAAGACAATACTGAATCATGCACACTGCAAAGGTTTATTTTAGCCAGAAGCAAGACCAAGCCTCTATATTAAACTCTGTGTATGCAGTACACGAGGTTATCCTGCTTGGAACTGGAACTCAAAGGGTTACTTTTTTTTTTTAAAATAAAATGTGCAGGTGGTCTTGAACTTACCAAGTTTTGGGGTTTTTTTGAAGCTGAATAGGCCTTTTTTCCTCTTCTCTTTTAATTTCAAAACCTAATAATCATGATAATCAACCCAGAACATAATATTAAACTACTTTTTATCTTTGCTATGTTTTGAGAGAGTGTTGTAACACATTTACCCCAATGTACTGCATGCTCTCAGATCCCATTCTGTATTGTCATATCTGCAAATATTTACAAAGCAAAAAATACTGTCTGACTCAGCAACACAACTCACATGTCTTTCATGCTGTTCCATATAATTGCCTCAGACCAAAACAACACAAAAACACTGCGAATTACAAAAGACAGAAATACTATTAGTGGCCTACAGCCAACTGTGGTCTAAGCATTTGCTTGTGAGTCTATCACATGCATGCAACATTTGGAATCCTGCTCAAAACCTTTGGCTGTACAAATATAGACCCTCAGTCAAGGAACTCAAGCAACAGTTTCATTTGAGTAAAATCAGGGAGATCAGCAGCTGACCAGCTTTAAATGTTGAAACCCCACACCAGAACACACCATCCTTTGCAGAGAAAAAGCAACAGGATTCCCAAGCACAGGGAGAGAGCAAGGCTGCAGCATGCTAGAGGTCTGCCGGTAGTCTCCATCAAAGCCTGTGACCTCTTCAGTACATTCGTAACATGCAGAAATGTCTGACTTTACCATAGGCACATTCACTGTAGGCTGCAAGGCACATGTCCCATCAAAGATGAAAGGCAGGATGTAATTACACCTAGATCTGCCACCTTCCAACAGCCCCAGTATTAGTCCACCTGGTACCCACAAAGATCAACCACTACAAGTTGCCTCAGGTAATTTTGAAGGTGGAAAGCTTAATCAAAGTGTTAAATTATCACAACTAGGAAGACAGCAATTAAGAAATCATTTCAGAGGCTTGTTCTCTTCATCAGTCCAAGAATCAATTTCACCACAGGAAGTCTTCTGAGGAGTAAAACACCCATCATAATTCCATTAATAAAAAAACTTTATTAGGGGTTAATGATTACTTCATTGTCTTTACAGAGATGATGAGAGTAGCACACATTTTGATGCTCTAAGTATGTAAATTTTCAATGAAAAAGCTTGTTTGAAGTCTGAGCTGGATGGAAGCTTGCTTAGCCTTATTCAGAGATCGTCTCAGTTCTTCTATGAAGATGGCAGGCTAACAAGCCATGAAGCTTAATAAAACACAGAGAAATTTTAAAGAATGAAATAGAAACAACAAAGATGTACTTTTATTGCAAACACATACTTTTTTTTTCTTTAATGAGATTAAATATGACTTCTGAATCAGAAAGAACTGCAATTCTGTCCTGCTTCCTGACTCAACATTTCCACTATAAGAAAAAATCTTCCACCTTCTCTAAGTCCTCTTTCAGTGACTAGGAAAGGCATAAAAAATATTATTAAGCTCAATATGGCTCCAAACTTTAAACAAAAACATCTTCCTAAATCAACTGTATACCCATTACATGCATTGTATACATGCTGGAAAATAAACACTGGCAAATACAGTCTTGGAAATGGCTCAAGGGCCTGGGTTTTTGAAAAGGGTTTATACAATATACAACTGCTGTCAACTGGATGATGTTAACTTGAAGACTGATGTTAACTCTGTTCATCTGCAAGGAGAACATCCTGCATTTCGTCGTCTAAGAAGGTACACGGCAACGTGCAAAAGCAAGCTCTCCCACGTGAGGCTGGAACAATCCAGGCTGCTCCCTGGCCAAAGGCCCATCAGTCTTCCCAAACTTAAAGTCGTAGATTCTAGAGGTGAATTTCAGCAGCACTATCTCCATGCAGTCTCCCATTCACTGCCCGTGGGGCCATGGCACACGACCACGTTCACTGGAGGCACCTGTATCCCGCACTGCTGCGCTGCGGACCCTGGGCAGCACCTCCGCTGTCCAGGACACCCTCAGCTCCCGGAGGGAACCGCACCGGAGCTAAGGGCTGAGAACACCCTTAGCGGTGTCCGAGAGCCTGTTGCCGCCCTGATGGGTGCGCAGCATCCCCGGCCATCACAAGGGACGAGGCCAGTGCCCAGCCGATCCAGGGGAGTACCAAGCCCTGGGCTCAGACCCTGCGCTCGAGGAAGTCCCCTAACCCGGCGAGCAGCAGGCCGACAGCCCTTCGACAGGACTCGAAGGCGGCGAGGCTGTGCCAGGGCCGGGAGACGATCCCACTCCCGGCCAAGGTGCCCTGTGGCGACGGCAGCGCCCCCGACACGCCGCCCATGAGAGCCCCCGCAGCGGCGGCCGTGCGGCCGGAGACGCCACGAAGCCGCCGCTCGCCCCGCTCTGCCCCGCCGCCGGCACATCACAGGCACACGGGGGACACGGGCCCGGGGGTGCCGAGGCCCGCCTGGGCAGCCGGGACCGAGCACTCCGCCTTGTCAGGGGCGAGGTGCTCCCCGAAGCCCAGACGGGACGCTGGGGGTACCTCCCTGAAGTTTCCCCGAGAAGTTTGGGACGGCCCGGAGGTGCAGCCGCCGCGCAGAGTCGCCCCCTCAGCCCACACCTCCCTCCTGCCACCGGGCCACACGCTCCCGGACCGGCCGCCGGGACCGGACCCCGGAGACCGACCCCACGACCTGGCTGAGCCCCCCGGGACGGGACCCCACCCGGACCGACCCCAGTCGCCCTCTGGGCACGCGGCCCTCGCTCCCGGGACAGGAGAGCGGCAGCCCCGGGGTGCGCTTAAGGGCTACCCCCGCACAAGCAGCCCTTGGGAATAAATAAAGCAGCAGGACACCTACCATCTCGCCTGATGTTGGAAGCCCGCAGGGCTTTTATAGATCCGCTCTGGGCAGGGGCGGTGGTGCCCTGACGGCTGCAGAAGTTCGCACAGACGACGGCGTAGAGCAGGAGGAGGATGAGCAGTTGCATTGGGACCAGCTGCGAGCGGGACCGTGTCTCCGCGAAGAAACGGGCTCTCCTCTCCCGCCGAGGGTGCTTCCCTCGCTCGTGTTCTCTTCCCCCCTTACCGGACTTTTTGGTTCTTGCGAGTTGCTTGTGTGTTTGGGGCAGTTGTAGGCGGGGGGCAAAAAAGGCACAATCCCCGCAAAAAAAAAAAAAAAAAAAAAAAAAGCGCAAAACCCCAGAGCACGCGAAGCAGCGGTTACCGCCGCCGCGCTACTCTCCGAGCTGCCTCAAAACTTCCTGCATGCTGAACTCTCGGCTGCCCTTCTGGGCCGGCCAAACTCGGCAGAGGTGCGGAGCGCCCGGGCCGGGACCGCCGCCCGCTCCCCTCGTCCAGCACGGCCGTGCCCCAGGAGCAGGCGGGGGCTGCCGCAGCCGCGCTCCCCCGCGGCCGCCGCCGGGCTGCACCGCGCCTCGCACCGCCCCCGCCCGCCGAGGGAGCCGCCGCCGGGGTCTGCAGCGCCGGGGGAGGAAAGGGGGCCCGGGGGAAGGGGGCGGGAGCGGTGCCCAGGCCCTCCCCGAGCTACCGGCCGCGCCGTCTCCACTCCGGGCAGAAAGTGGCAGGAGGGACGGTGCGAGGAGGGGGCTGTCCCCGGTGCGGTGCGGAGTGGACGCCGGGCTCACGGCGAGTGGATGGGACGGGATTCGTGTGCCAAGGGCTCTCCGCCTGCACAGGGGCTACGCACCCGGCGGTCCCGTCACCCTCGGGCTCGAGGTGGCCACGTAAAATTCATCGCTGGGCCGAATGCCTCAAATCTCCGAGCTGTGCCAGGGCGGGTGAGAAGACTTAGTGGGACAACTGGCGAATAATCCGCAGTTGTCCCTGGGAGAAATATATGGGCTTCTCCTGTCATGCCAAGCACTGTGCAAAGCTTTTCATAAAAAGTTAGTTCTTATTAATTTAGAGCCTCATTAAATTGGTCTGGTTTTAAAAGATTGTATTACTGCCTGGAAGAGTTTAGGTCTAAACCAAAGGTATGTGAGGGTTGTAATCAGATTGCTAGTTTAAAATTCTTTTTCTTTCCATTAGTTGCAATGAAAATAATCAAAAGAAAGTTAAAAAAAAACAAAAGGGAAAAAAAAACCCCAAAACGCTTAGGTTTTAACAGTTCTCTAGTAAATTTTTCCCTACTCAGTTTATTTCTTATAATTTATGCAGTCTTAGCCAGTCTAACAAACTGTTACATGCTGCCAGGTCTTTAACAACATGAAACATACGTCATTAGCAGAAGAATGTCAATATGGTGCTGTATCAGGAGTCTTGGATGAGTCCTGCTACACTGTGAGTTCTGCCTCTGGCTGTGTGAAGCATTTTCTCCAAGAGCATGCTAGGATGACAATGGGACTGAAACATCTTGTATGTCTTAGGAAACCAGTAGGGTGCAATTCTGTTATGCATAATTCATGCTCCTTTATCCCTTTCATGTTCCCCAAAACTGACAGCGAACCTAATCCTGCTCCCATGTGGTAGATAATGGAAAGGCTCCAACAGTGCTTCATTTGTGAGCAGATGTGACTATATTTTAGGTGCCCATTTCAGGGGGGGAGATGGGTGAAGAGAGGGAAGGTGGCCAATTCAATCATCCTAATAGAAACAGAATGTCAAATAGAGGACACAGAATGAATGAGTATGGGGGATCTTGGGAGATGTTCTCTTTTCAGCCAGTCAATGTGTCTGCCTCTCTCCAGTTACCTTGCAAGGAACTACCACAAAATGCCGATAGAACCCCTGCTCCCCAGCTCTCTTCTGACCTTTAGCACAACTCGTGGTGAAGTCTTGCCTTTCTTAGTGCCTTCAGGACCTCCTTCGCTTTTAGATTCAGGATGCTGGAACCTGTAATTGGTTCTCTTTGGGGAATGGCCATTTTAAACTGAAAGAGAAAGAAGGACAGATTACCTTCCAGCCAAAAGTCAGACAAAAAAAATGTTTTGACAGTATCTGAGCAATTGCACAATTCAGTCAAGAAATGGCAGTATTTCCCAGACTGTTTCTCTTTCTGTATTGAAATTCATCCATATAAATTTGCTTATATAAAATTCATACATCTTCCCAAGACCTGAGTATAGAGACAGAGTCTCTCTGGCCCCATGCCTCCCTGGCTACAAAGGTCCAGCTTTAACAGAAGAGTAAAAGAGACTTTTGTCTTTAACACTCCACAGCTGTTTGGCTGACATGCTCCCTGGCTTGATAGCGACTATAAGTTTAAACTTCCTTGAGCTGACCAGGGCACAGAAGTGAGGGTTCCTCAGCACTTCTTTTTCTTTTCTTTTTTTTTGAGAGTACATACTATTTTGGTACATAAGATGAAATTCCTGTTTATGTAGCAGAGATAGCTGATTGCTTGGAGAATTCTCAAGCAAACAGCATGAGACCTCATCAACTAGACGATGATGGATATAGGCAAGTGGATTCCACCACCTGTGGCTTTGATACATACTAAGAGGAGCCCTTTATCACTCGTATCATATACTCACAGTACATTCCTGTTTCTCCCTGTACAAAGCATGGTATAGTGCCACTCTTTGTTCTTAAAGCAAAAATTATTTCTGTAGCAGACAAGTCTGTTTCTCAGGTCAGAAAAGAGGAATAACATTGTGGGATCCAAAACAGAGGCCTAGATCTATGAATTATTAAATGTTTATTTTAGCCCTAGTATCAAAAAACCCCAGATTTTCCAATTTGATGTACAGTTGGACAGAAAGATTTTGGGACAGAGAAGCAAAACTAACATGCATTAGTAGGCTGTTAGAGGAAAAGCCTACATTCTAATGACTGTTGCTACAGCTTCTTAGTTCACTTTTAAAACCACTAGATCCACTAAAAGCCAGAAAAGTATCTTTATAATAAGGTGTCATAGAACCTCCATCAAAGAGAGAGAAGTTTGGATTATATTCAGGCAGTTTTATAAGCACATCACTGGGCCTTTACTTTCTGGCAAAAATTCTAGCACATTGGCTAATCTGCATTCTAAGTGCTTGGAATAATTTAAAGCATCAGGTGGCTTCTACAGGAAGACCTATACCAAGTCATAAAAGGTTGCTGCATAAAAGGACACACTGATGTATAAGTGTGATAACCTTGGTAATTATAGACTTGTCAGCTAGGACCCTAATAAAAAAAGTCTTCACATAAAAGTAAATTAATATAAATTTAAAAAAAATATATAATTGTTTCCTATCAACCTGAAAAATCTTACCATGCCAACTTGGAAATCTGGTTGACAAGCAGAATAGCATCCCATTATGGCTTTCATAACATACCAATTGGTACTGCATGATTTGAATAATATAAAATGAAAGCCATGCATACTAAAGGTTTTCAAAACTTCTTAAATGACAGGCTTAAAAATGTTAATGAAAAAGGGAAACATTATTAAATGGATTCTCTTTGAGAGAGTGCCATTTAGGCTAATTTTTTACTTCTGCATTGCTTTACATTTGTAAGCATACAGTTTGTGATAATTGGGAGTGGGGCTGTGGCCAAGCCTCATCCCCAGTGGGCTACAGCTGTGCAGGGCCGATGAGCAGCATTGAAGGTAATGAGACACAGAGTGCTGAGGTGCACTGAGCAATCACAAAGGGCACAGAGGGTGTACAGGTGCCATGCATGAACAATCAGGGTATAAAAGGGGCTGAAGAGCAACTCTGGGAGCCTTCTGGAGTGGCATGGTGTTGTTCTGTGTGGGTTGATGCTTTCTGAAATTGTGTGGTAATATTCTGTGTGTTGTGGCTGTCTCAGCTGGGACATATGCTGCAACATACATTTCTAACAATGACCTGTAAAATTGCAGCTATTATAGATGAGTATTGAAGATGACAAAAACTTTGGGGGAGTAACAATAGGATGATTTATAGCATTGGTGATACATTGAGACAGATGTGTAGTTGCTGGATATAAGTGTAAAGCTGTGCCCTGGCCCAGCTTATGCATCAAAATAGCCACTGGCAGCACTTCCCAGTGCCTGTGGCATTCACCTCACCTTGTTTTAGTCCTCTGAAAGTGCCTGGTGTTAGTCACACAGGTTCTCATTGTTCATTGAAAGAATTGAGTTCCCATCAGAGGATCCTCTAGCCCAGAGGTTTTAGGCAGTCATGGTGGGGTGGTTTGGAAGGTCCAGTTTCTCTTCACTATGGAGAGAGTACAGAGAAAAAATGCATTCATAGTTATAGGATAGAGTATTTAATTCTAGAAAGCACTGATGCAGAAAGAAAATTATGGGCGTGGATTATCAAGAAAGTCAATGGGCTGTTGCCATCTCTGTCATCATTTGTTGACTGGGCAATGCTCCAGAGTCATGCAGTTTGTCTATGGAGCACAAATGCACTGTTTGTCCAGAACATTTGATCTATGTTGATTAAGTAGCAAAATCCAAGATCTCTGAGTTTTCTCTGGGATCCTTGACTACTTATTCAAAGAAGAGAATAACAGAGTAGGGGCATTATGCCTTTTTATGTTATTATTAGACTGCTGCCTCAAGTTCCTATGAATAAAGTCTTAGGATCATAATAAAGTGAGAAACACTCAGAGGAAAACCACAGGGTTAGCTGGAGGTTGAGAAACATGCCACTCAGGGAAAAGCTTAAAAAAAATCACAAGCCGTTTAGCTTATCAAGAAGAAAATCAGAGGGGTCACAGCTTCCTCCCGGAGGTAGGGTATTGATTCTAGAAGGCTATTTTGTCTAGTGGACAATAACATATCAAGGTGAAGGCTGGAGATAGACAAATTAAAGTTAGGAGTAAAAGTCACATTTTTCTCTATGGAAAGCTATGGAACTATGAAAGTTCTTCACCATTGAAAATCTGAAAGGCAAGATTTGATGTTTTCCTAAAACCACTCAAGTGGTTTCAAGCTGTGCTTAGGAATTCTTGGGGTCTATTGATCACTTCTAGAAAGTCTGTAAAGGCAACAGAAGAAAGCATGTTCATATGCTCTATACTACAAGCTACAGATAAATTTAAATTTTAATAATTAAATTTCCATTAAATTTTAATGGAAAACAACAACTAGAAAAAAATAAAACTCCAAGGATTAATTCCAGGCACTGTGATTTTTATATAGGAAGGCAGTCAAGAGAGGGCAATGACCTCATCCCCTAGTTTATAGTCTGTGACAAAGATGTAAGAATGAGCAGAGGTACATAGAGTAGGATGGAGAAACATCTCAAAATTGCTGAAATATGTCTTAAGTAAACAACTGTAACCATGATGGAAGACTAAAAGAATGTAAGGAAAATTAGACCAAAGCCATTATATGTCTGGAACTGGAAAACACAGGCAGAGTCAAGTGTTACTAAGAAAATTGCCCCAGGCACCACGAGTTCAAGAAAAAAGTGCAGCACCGGGATCTATGGCCAGATTTACTGCCTGCACACACAGAAAATCCCCAGTGAAACTGGTCACTTTAGGTGACCAGACCTATCAAACACAAGCTCAAGCA